CCCCCCCCAGGGACTCACTGGTCCGCTGCTGCTTCCTCTTCAGCTCTTCCTCATGCTTGTGGTCAGTGGCCTCGGCCGCAAAGTCGTAGTGGGCGTCCTTGGGCAGCTTCCACTCGTTGCTCCGGTCCGTCAGGTCCGAGGTTCTGCAGGTCAGGTCAGCACTAAACTTCTCAATGTCGATCTTCATGATCCTGCAATGGACGGTCATCCCCACCTGCCGAGGGAAGGGAAGGGAGGGGAAGGGAGGGAAGAAGGAGGGAAAGGAAGGAAAAGAGGGAGGGAGGGAAGGAAGAGAAGGAAAGAAAAGAGGGAGGGAAGGAAGAAAGGAAAGAAGGGAGGGAAGAAGGAAGGAAGGAAAGAAGGGAGGGAAGAAGGAAGGAAAGAAGGGAGGGAAGGAAGGAAAGAAAAGAGGGAGGGAAGAAGGAAGGAAGAAAGTGAGGGGAGGGAGGGAAGAAAAAGAAGGAGGGGGGAAGAAAGGAAGGGAAGGAAGAAAAGAAAAGAGGGAGGGAGGGAAGGAAGGGGGAAGGGAAGGGGAGGGAGGGAAGGAAGGAAAAGAGGGAGGGAAGGAAGGAAGGAAAAGAGGGAGGGAAGGAAGGAAGGAGGGAAGAAAGTGAGGGAAGGGAGGGAGGAAAAGAGGGAGGGAAGAAAGGAAGGGAAGGAGGGAAGGAAGGGAGGGAGGGAAGGAAGAAAGGGAGGGAAGGAAGGAAAAGAGGGAGGGAAGAAAGGAAGGGAGGGAGGGAAGGAAGGAAAAGAGGGAGGGAGGGAAGAAAGGGAAGGAAAGAAGGAAGGAAAGAAAAGAGGGAAGGAGGAAGGGGATTAATTAATTCAAGATGGACACAGGGGTCTCACTGGAGAGGCAGAGCTGAGCCCAGCACTGCAGACGCTTGAGTGGATCAGGTATGTGTGACTGGTGCTTGTCCATCAGAAGACCCCGGGGGTGGCACAAAGGGTCTTCTGGGGTCACCAGCTCTCCCCTTCTAGGGGATGGCCTGGCACATCTAAAAAAACTCAGGGAGAAGGGGATCATTGGGGCCCTTTAAGCCAGAGCACTTTGACTTGTATACCGCTTCACAGGGGAAGGACGGGGCTGTGGGTGCCACAACCCTCACCTCTGTCTTAATGTGTACACCCAGCTGCTGCGTGCAGGACACTATTCGGGGTTTTGGGGGTGCAGAGCACAGAATCTGCCACGGCGATGCCCAGCAATGTGCCTCAATGCCAGATAGCTGGCAGAGGTGGAAGAAGAGAAACAGGCTAGGTCTTAATCAGTGGAACAGAAGTTGCCTCCATACAGCATGCCTTCTTTCTTCTTTCTTTCGTGTTTGGTTTTTGGACATGAGAAATGTAAAAATGCTGGGATGGTTTATATAAAAGGAACGTTTTCTCTCTTTTGTCTTTTCCTTCTGCTCTTATTTTTTTTTAAGATATGAGAAATGTAAAAATGGGATGGCTTGTATGAGAAAAAAGACTTAAATACTGAAGGGTAACTAATTTTGAGAACATCTTAAGCGGTAAGAATGTTTTGAATATTGTGGTGAAAACAGATTTAAATAAGAATGTAAGCAGGATTTATTTATTTAGCCAATCTCATGGTACACATTTTCTACTTTGACAATAAAGGTTAATTTGATTTGATTTGATGAGGCAATCAAGCTGATCAATGAAAAGAAGCTTTATATTGATGTGGTTGTTATTGGCAGAAACATGAGAAAAATGTTCACATTTAACGGTCATTTATTTAAATAAGAACTGTATTATTTTAAGGTTGGCGAAAGAGAATATTATTGGAAGAAGAAGAAATCAAGTAAAGCTATTATAGGGACTATAGAATTATAGAAATTAATTGTTACTGATTTTTAAACACTAACCTAGACAACACGATGTTTACCAAATATTAAGGCGTATGTTAAAAATCAATAAAACATATATTTTTTAAAAAGGACGAAGTTGCCTCCAGAAGTTGTGGATGCTCCAACACTGGAAGTTTTTAAGAAGAGACTGGACAGCCATTTGTCCGAAATGATATAGGGCTGTAGTGGTGAACCTATGGCACGGGTACCAGAGGCGGCACTCAGAGCCCTCTCTGTGGGCACGCGCGCCATCGCCCCAGTCCTAGGCCTTCAGCTGGGTTTTATAAAACCTTTTCGCCTTAGGCCTCCGTCGCCGTGTGCAAAAAAAAAAAAAAAAAAAAAAAAGGTTCCATCAATCAGTCAATTTCAACTTCTCACGGGAAAAAAAAGATCTTGCAAAGTTGGAATTGATTGATTGAACTTTTTAGTCCCACCCAGTCTGCCGTTACCACCGTAGCCACGCTCAGCCAATGGGCCACACCCACCCAATGGGCCACACCCACCCAATGGGCCACACCCACCCAATGGGCCACACCCACCCAATGGGCCACACCCACCCAATGGGCCACGCCCACCCGGCACCCGACAATGCATAAGTGGGTTTTGGGTTGCAGTTTGGGCACTTGGTCTCTAAAAGGTTCGCCATCACTGGGTTAGGGTCTCCTGCTCGAACAGGGGGGGCTAGACTAGAAGATCTCTGAGGTTCCTCCCCACTTTCGTTATTCTGTAAAGTCAGAATGGCTTCTGCCTCAGGAGCCGACAAAATCCAAAACTACACTCATGTTAGCTTTTGAAGGGGTTCAGCACCCCAAGAGGGACCAAGGGCTTTGGGGCCCCGGGGGTCTCGGCTTCCGCTGAACCAGTTGGGCAGAAGCCAAGCTGGAGGGGCTTTGCCCAAGACAGCCTGGGCACCAGTGGTGGGGGCCTTTGAAAGGGGTCTCTGGCCTTGCAGAGTTTGAGGCTGGCAATTCCACCTCTAGCCCCCTCCCCTGCTCCCTCCCACCCCCCCAAGGCTCCAATCCCCAGCCAAGAAGCTGCGTAAACACCCAGCTCTTTGCCTGGGAAAAAGGGGACCCCCTCCCAACAAAGGCCTGGCTGTTTTCCTTTCCATCCGCCACGCTGGAGATCCGCTCCCAGCCAGAAAAACAAGCCTTTGAAACAAACGGGCGGTCACTGCCCCGGTAATTGCTTTGGCCACATTCCCACCGTCCGGCCCAAGTCCAGAGTGGAAGCATGCTGGGAAGAGGGGACAGGTGTGGCGGTCAAAAAATGCCAGCTCCCTGCTTGGTGGGAGGGTCCGGCGCCAGCCCGGTGCAGGGCAGGGGCTGGGAGAGGCCCAAGACATCCTGGCCGGCCATTGACCAAGCCGCCTGGGCTGAACCCCCCCCAATAACCTACCTTGACTCTTTCCTCCGGCCGTTTGACCGCCTTGTCGCTGAGGAATTTGGTGGGGACGAAGCCGGTGACCCCGTTGTCCAGACGGGTTTTCACCCCAATGGCCTGACCGGGGCAGGAACCGCTGTCAAAATGGTTCCAGACCTGGAGAGAGGGGAGATGTGACGTTAGCCTGGTCCCTTAGCCGACCGCACAAGTCCTTGTGTGACCTACACAGCAGGGTGGGGAGGGTGGGGGGTCCATCCCAACAGACAAAAAGATGCCGAGAGTCTGGAAAGAGGGTGGAGGAGGCCAGGAGGATGAGGACGGGGCCTGGAGGATAAAACACGCGGTGGCAGGAATTGGGTAGGTCTAGTCTAGTGAAAAGGAAGAAGTAGTGAGGGGGGGGAACACGATAGTGGGGTTCCGATATTTGAGGGGCTGCCCCAAAGAAGAGGGGGGGTGTCTGATTATTATCCCAAAAGCACCAGAAGCAACGGATGGACACTTGTCAAAGAGAGAAGCAACCTGGAATTCAGGAGGGATTTCCTAACAGTGAGAACAATTAACCAAAATTCAAATTCAAATTTATTTGATTTATATACCGCCCTTCTCCCATTGCGGGACTCAGGGCGGTGAACAGGCACATTAATAAAACAGCAATAACATAATATTTAAAAATATTCAAAACTGATTAAATTATTTGTCCTGTCCTAAAACCCACTATAATAATATAAAATTATACCCAATTTAAAATTTTAGAATTTCGGATTTATGCCAGACCGGCCTCTTGGAACAGATAGGTCTTTAGGGCTCGGCGGAAGAGGCGTATGTCCCCCATTGTACGGAGGTCAGGGGGCAGCTCATTCCA